TTCATTGAAGTCTGGATTTTTTTTTCAAATTAAAATGCCAAACTATACAACTGCATAGTTTGAATGCTTTCTAAATGTTCTAAGTGCATTTAGTTAGTAATATATTTAGCCAATAGCGCTGTCGTAATCAAACGAACAATTCTGCCCCCCGAAGGCCATGTCTTCCTCTTTCACGTTTACAAGTGAAAGTTGGGAGAAAGATGCAAGTGATGGAGTAGAAAGATGAAAATGGTCATGGGATTCCTTCTTCTTAAACTCGGGAAGCGAAAACGTTCTACGGCAGTGTCTGTGTGTGTGGTGCTAGGCAGTAGCAATGAAGACCGGGAAAACAGTGTAGAAATGTGTCATCTTTCCAGCATAGTAGGCCAGCCTGCTTTCCTGTTTTTTTCAGAGGCGGGGGTAGGCTGCAGGCTATTTCCTGAGTGTGTTCAGCTGGTTTGAGTTGAGTCGTGCATCCTTCCTTGCACAACTGAGATGCAGCCCTGTGCTGATGGGCACACTGAGTACGACCGCATGTGAGAGAAGTTACGTATTCTACCTCCTGTGCTAAAAGTATTTTGTTTTTCCTTTGGAGTAAAGTACATCCTAAGGCCAACAAAAAGAAAACTCCATAACATATGCATGGAAAATCACTGTGTTAAAACCATTCTAAGGATGCCTCATGATCATCTGGTTATTAGAATTATATCCATATCGAGGGCTATAATCATTTCACATTTTCAGCATTTGCTTTGTTCAAGCACAATGCCAAGGGCTTGGCCCATGTTAACTCATTTAATCTTTGTAAGGACCCATGAGGTATTAGCTGTATGGTCCTATTTTACAGAGAAGGAAACCTAGTTAAGAAAGATTAAGTTGCTGCCTGAGGTCACTGACTCTAAGGAACAGAACTGGCCTACAAACCCAGACTGATTCCAGAGCCACTGAGTGCCATGCATACAAAGGCGTCTGGGGCCCTTCCCAGTATGAAGAGCACTGAGGGGTAAGGGACACATTGGTTAAAAGAGGTATTTGAAGATTATGATGTGAAGAGGCATTTGAAGAATAAAAAAAGATTATGCCTCACACCAAGTACATTCACGTAGAAATTCTTAACTTGGGCCAGCTATGCTGCTGGACCCATAAAAATCACCTTGGTGCAAATGTGTGCATCCGAGGTCCAGCAATTAGGTTCATGAACCATCCTAGAAAAAGTGCCACATACCTCATTGCTGAATATCGCTATTGTCACTACGAAGCACTGCCCTTGGGAAGCTGTGTGCCAAGGCCAGTGCCTAGTCCCCCCATCAGAGCAGTTTTGGAGCTCTTTTTCGCGAATGGCCATCAGAGCTGTTGCTGTTATTTGTTGAGGTCTGACGGTTAAGTACACGAATTTGCCACCATGCACTAACACTCGTAGCACTGTACAAATAACTATTGGAACACCCTCCCTACTCACCTGATCTGGCCCCCGGTGACTTTTTTCCTTTATCCCAATAGAATGGAAATATTGAAAGGAAGATACATGATGACATTCAAGACATCAAGGATAGTACGTTGACAGCTCTGATAGCCATTCCAGAAAAAGTGTCCAAAGTTGCTTTAACAGGTAGACTAGGTGCTGGCGTCAGTGCATAGCTTCCCAAGGGGAGTACTTCAAAAGTAACCATACTGATATTCAGCAATGAGTTACGTAAGATTTCTTCTTTTTTCTTTTGGAGCTGGAGTCTCACTCCATTGCCCAGGCTGGAGTGCAGTGGCACGCTCATGGCCACCCCAGCGTCGACCTGCCGGACTCCGGCAATCCTTCTGCCTCAAGCTTCCAAGTAGCTGGAACTACAGGCATGTGCTACCATTCCCAGCTAACTTTTTTTATTTATTGTAGAGACAAGGTCTCACCAAGTTGCCTGGGCTGTTCTTGAACCCACAGGCCCAGGCAGTTCACTTGCCTTGGCCTCCCAAAGTGCTGGGATGACAGGCTGAGCCATCGAGCCCGGCTGTTAAACGTTTTTCAAGGATGAGTTCATGAATTTAATTGTCAGGCCTCATATGTAATGTCTCAGGCCCATAGCAACAGAGTACCAGCTACAGTGAGTATAATAATGATAATTTATATCACGTTATTTGATATTTATAAGACCATTTTAGGTTATATCATTTAACCCTTACAGCATCCTTGTGAGATTTAGATCGCATCCCTATTTATACCGAAGAAGAAATGAAGGCTTGAAATTCAACAATTTGCCCAAATTTTTAGGACAAATCAAAACTGAAATACAGGTTAGAGGACTTTTTTTAAAAAAACAACCCACACCTCCTTTCCCAAATTCAAAGTTCAAGTTTGAATTCAACTTGGTTTGTATCTTCTTCTAACCACATAAATGCTTAGTTAACATTATCTGTGTAGATCCCTGGGTTTCACGTCACAAGGAAAGGGACCTCCAAATGATAAGCATTTTATCACAGAACGAGCAGAGCACATAACGAGGAAGCCATGCCTCACATCAGCACAACTGACACTACCTGTAAAATGAGAAGCATCCACCCTTGCCTCTGGGAGGAGTCGAGCCTGCAGTGTGTTGGCTGGGTCAGTCACCTAGCAGGAAGGCCCGGCCGGGTGGCTTCCAGGGGGGTCTTCTGAGCAAGCCGGGCCGGGACTTCCAGGGGGGTCTTCTGAGCAAGCCGGGCCGGGACTTCCAGGGGGGTCTTCTGAGCAAGCCGGGCCTAGACCTTCCGCGGCAAGTGCAGACCTGGAGGAGTTTGCTGAAAGTCCTCGTTGGAGTCCCAGGCGTTTGCCAAGAGCTGGGTGTGAGAGGCTCTATCCTGCCGCTCAAGCGTCAGAAACGGGTGCCCTGGGTTGGATCGACCCGGAAATCGGCCTTCGAGGTTCTGCTCGCTCGCCCGGGGTGTGTCCCCTGCGGCCCGACGGCAGATCCGGGAAGGCTCGAGGGAGTCTCCAGGACAGGGCGAGTGGGTCTGTTTCCCTGCTGCCCCCTCCTCTGCTCGGGTCACTGCTGCCCCTCCCATGCCGGGCCCCTGTGTCTCCGCCCTGCCCGGGCAGCCCAGCCCTGAAGAGGCCAGGCCGCGCGAGACGGGGAGAGA